TAAAATTGCGATACGCGATCGGTCGGGGAAAAAAAAATTAAAAAGTCAATTATCGTAGAAGACTTGCGTTAATTGTGATTAACGCATCCGTTCATTTTTATGACGAGTATCTGACGATCAGAGAGCGCGGAAGCGATACGGGAGAGTATATACGATTACGTCGTTCGGTAAGGCCGGAGATCCCTCCCTCAATCGTAGTTGTTGCCGGGCGCGCGGAAATATGTATGGCGAGCATTACGGCTAACGTCAAGTTTACGCAACGCGTATTACGTAAGGTGGACGAACGTGTCAGAATACGACCCGGCGGCCCAGAACTCGCGGAAGCGATGCACGCAAATGCCGGCACGTCAAACCGATGCGTTTCGAGACACGGACGTTTTTTTCAAGTTTGGATCGTGTATACGTCAGAATATTCTTTCTCTCCTTGCGACCGCGCAATTTGCCGGGAGATAACATGGGAACGTGTTACATGATATAAAGATGATATAAAGATTTGCGTTATACAGATAAATTTAATAAATATTGCAAGAGAACGTTGAATGATACAAACAGATGATATAAAGCGGAAAAGTTGAATAACTGTTTTTTAGATCTTATAATTATAATTCGAGATAAAAGCAAAAGTCGTAAATCCGTTTCATTAAAAAAAAAAAAACATATTTTTATAAAAGTGTTTCCGTTTTATAAAACTTAATGAATAATGTGCGTACAGTCGAGATAAAAATCTTTTTCAGTTGTCTAGATAATATAATGAATAAAAAAATCATTTAAAAGAAAGTCCTTCCCTTTAAAAGGCAAGAAGAACAAATAGAAGAATCCTCTTTTAAAAGAAAAGCAAGCTTTCCTGAAGATTTTCCTTTTCTTTCTCTCATACCAATTTCGATTGCAAGAGACAGATCTGTTTATTTTCTATCTGGTCAATAGAAATATGTTATGGATATAGCCACGAAAAAAAAAATAGTATTTAACAATCTTTTTCTCATTCATATCTTAAACAAAATTAATTTAAATAAACTTTTAATAAAACTTTTAAATACATATTTCGTTTTTCCGTAATATTCACAAGCAAACTCATTGTTCGTGTTCAAGTCTTTCGATCAAGTTACGATTATGCTGGCGAGCATCGCTAATATATTTCCTTCTTTAAATTCTACTCATTTTGAGAGGGGCTCATTTTGAACTGAAATAATAGCATCGTCACGGAAAAATACATCACGTAACGTAACAGTGTCGAGTGGTGACCGGGAAAAATTGCTAGTATTGTGAGCGATAATCGAAAACTTCGTCGCAGTATCGCTAGAAAGATCTGCAACGATCACCAGACGGTATGACGACGACCGTCCGAACATCGGTGGCGAACGACGGTCAAGGTCCGCCATTGGGACACTCGTGCGACTCGTGCATCTAACCGGCAAACCTTGGTTAGAAAAGCGGCAGCATGCGGAACTAGAAATAAATCTTCCGTGCGTTCTCCGCGCGCGCTCCACACAGAGCTATACATGTGTGCGCGAGCGTGCGTGAACACCCGTGCACACGCACGCCCCCCCCCTTACACCCACACACACATACACACACATCCCACACACGCATACACACGTCCCACACACGCATACACATACGGTAGCACACCGATATTATTTCGCGCGCGTGCAGTCAGGGCCACGGTGACCTTAACTACCTTCCTCCGCACCTCTACCGCCCCCTCTCGTTGTTGGCACCCCTTCCGCCCCGCCATACCTCCTCGCCACCAAGCGATGCTGCATTCGAGGACACCGGGGGGCGCGGATAGGGGAAGGGGCACGTGCCGCTCGTGGTGACGTCACGTGGTGTGCACTGCGACGCGATGCACCAACGGCGCCGCCGGGTCCTCGCGCGTGTTACCGCTCTGAGATCTAGGTCCATGTGCAGACGTATGCCGATGGACATGGATATTCTGGTGCGTGTGTGGGATGTTTTAATAGTATTTGGCTCACGTCGACCACAATTCGCAATTTTTGAGGGTTCAGCCTGGATTTGATAAATGGTACATATGCACGTGGTCGAGAAGGTAATTTCGAGGGATTGACGGTGACATATACATTTGCATAGATCTTTTATTCAGAAACTGTTCGCTTCGTTTTGTCACTTCGTTGCGGATATATTACTTTACGATAATTTAATCGGAATTTAGAAAAAAGGTAGGTTCAATGAAGTAGATTAAAATCGTCCACGCCTACTTGGACCAAACGATACCTGAGTTACACATTATAAATTTCGACTTCATAATTCTAATAAGTTGCTCTCCTAGTGAAACCTGTTCTCAAGCTTAATAGAAAAAAAAAAACCAGTTTTCACGTGAGGTTTGAAGATTTAGATCCACGTGTCGCGCAACGCGCGTGCACGACCTTTCGACAAACTTTAATTCGTGCCAATTGCAATCTTCACATTTGAGAGAGACTTATGTATGAGTTAATTCTAAGTAGAATCGTATAAGGCTCGTAATTTGTTCTCATAAGAACTTGTAATTAAGTCTTGTAAGAACTTATGACCAGAGTTATAATTCTATACATACCGTAAGACATATGATCGTTCATAAATATCTATAATAATTTCTCGTAAATCTTACGGCTAGCAAGAAGCCAAAGAACAAAAACTGGCGAGGAAATTTTGCTTCACACAGCGGAGTTTTTTCTTTGCTTTTGAAAAAAATCTTAATTTTGCCGGAATGAAATGTCTATCCTTTTAAACAAAAAAGTTACGTTAATAAAAAAATTTTCTAACTAATTCTTATGGCCGGGTCCATCGGTCCATAATTTTCTGAAAATCGACATGTTCCTAGGCAATTTTTACCGATCGTGATCTCATGCCTGTAACAAATTCGATCGAGGTATTACGGATGCAGACACGTGACGGAGACAAAGGAAATCTCCACCGGCACAAAATGCACTCGATATGCTCCCGTCGATACGCTCGACTACGGCACTGCGCACGTGGATGCGCGTACGTGCACGCGTGCGCGCGCGCGTCGAACGCGGGTGGAGGACAGGCGTACAGGGGGAAGGAAGCGTAGTATTCTGTCGCACTCATTGCACAATGCAATACACTCGGCTGGAACTTCCTGACCGTATCCCTCCCTCTTATTCTCTCTCTTTCTCTCTCTCTCTCTCTCTCTCTCTCTCTCTCTCTCTCTCTGTCTGTCTGTCTGTCTATCTATCTATCTCTCTATCTCTATCTCTCTCCTCTCTTTCCTTCCCCGCCTGTCAGTATCATCGTTCATGGATACCGCGATATGGGAACGATGGCATCGTCTCTCTCCTATCTTGATCGAATGACCTTTCTCGCGATGACGAGCACTAGGCGATGAGAGAATCTAGGGAACGCCGACGACCTTGGTTACCGTGTTCGTGGAGATATCACCGACACGGTCAATTGGGTCAGGTGCGCGCTGATACGCAGCAGGTAGGGTGGCCATCTTTCTCTCGGATGTGATTGGGACAATAGGGATAGAAGAAATTGGGATATTTCCTAGTTTTTTTAAACGGACGAAATGTCTACGTGTATTTCCAATTTCTTTTATTAAGTTTTCATAATTATTTTTCTATTCGCCGAACGTATCACAATGAAATAAGCGGCACTAACATTATGAACAATGTTTTTGTTTGGAATTTTGAAATTTTAATAAAGTAAGACGACGAAAACGTCATATCTGATTATTTATTCATGCATTGAAATGCGAAACTAGAGGAAGCGGAACATTGTAAAAGACATAAAAGAAAAAGAGGAAAAAGATAGGAAAAAAGAGAACGCCCGAAGATAATGTTCAGGAAAGAGGACGTCCATGGAAATCTGGTTATTTCAAGTTACATGGGTATTTACGAGTGAAAGTCGAAACCGCATGCATTAAGTTTGGTAAATTACATCGACGGATCTGATTGACGTTCAATATCGCGAATGACGCGCAAATATTTTCATCTGACGACATCATCCGATTGACTCGAGATGAATGACTTTAAACGCTTGCGGCCCGTTCGCGACCACCGGTGAAAGTAGGAACCTTCAGTGTAAACTGGGTTACGAATAATATTGATCCGAGAGAAGGTGATGGAGGAGAAGGTGGTAGTGCTGATGGTGGTGGTGGTGGTGGTGATAGTGATAGATTTGAGTCGCGTTTGCACGCGGAGACTGTTCCACCGACTGATTCTCCGTTTTTTCGATAACTTATATATATATTCCCCGTGTTGCATCCGTAATTTGCGTGGCGACGCCATTGGCGAATGCCTCCCCTTTCAAGCAGAGGTTTTCCCGCACTCTAGATATCGATAGGTTGCTACACGAGAGATAATTAAGAGGAAAAAGTAACTGTTGTTGCGATGGGCACGCGAGATTACTTATCTCTACTCGTATTACAAGTCAGATAACAAATATAGTAACAACAAGCATCTCGAATGCAAATTGCATTACGGGATGCTTTCCGTTGTGCTTTCGTTAATGTTAAAAGAAATTGGAGTTCATTCCAAAGGGAAATGATACGTAAGAGATACGATAAAGGATTAACTCTAGAATGATTAAAAGATGAGAGAGATACTTTGCGTTATTATTATTAAAAATTTCATTATTATTAATACAAAAATACAAACACTAAACAATAATCTTTCTATCGAAGTTTTTTTGAGAACTTACGACAGTTACAAAATTAATATCAATGTACACAAAGTAGCCACTCATCTTCTGTTGATATTTGTCTGAAAATAATCCCACACTGAGAAAAATTTGTAGTTAAAAATAAACCAGAAGATTCTGATCATATTAATTACAATTCTAGTCTTATCTCAATTAGAATTACAATAAATTCAATGAAAAAATTCTGATTTGTCCATTTCCGACTAGAGTTTCAATTAATGTAATTAGAACTCTTTTACCAGTGTAAGGTTAAAAAGGAATTTCGCTGCCTGCAATTTCGCACCTGCGAAATCTCCAGCGAGCAAGTGTCTAATTACGCGGAGAGCGGAAATCGGGCTTACCTGTTCGCTTTCGAAAGTCGCGCAAGCGCCTGGCTCGGCCTCGATCGGGTCCTGATTGACTTTCGCTCGAATCTGAAAAAGTCATAAAACAGAGGCAGGTTTTTAGCGAGTTCGGCCGGTTAGTTAAGGGACCACACTCATCTTAGCGGCTATTTCGGGAGCGGAACGCCGCCTTGCTATCCGCCTTGCCATCGTCGCGCGCGGAGAGTCGCTATTTCCCGTGCAAGCGGCCGAAAGCAGCAAAAGTGCGCGGAACTATCGCCACCGTGTACCTAAGATTAGCGCGGGGCGATAATACCTCAAGGTCCGGCTTGTTAGCCGTCTTACGAAATACCAAAAAATCACCGCACGCGTGTTTACATCCTTGGCTCGGCCGGCGCGTGCTTATGTCATCATCATGTGCGCGAGCTTGGCACGCGCGACGCCGACGATGACGACAACGACGAAGATGACTCCGACCGCCCGTCTTTGCAGACTTCTGCATCTCTGACCGGTCAGGGACGTTGCTGCTAGCACGTAACAACTGGCGCAGTTTAAATCCATGAGACAATCGAAACTCTAGTATTTCTCTCTCATACTGATTTCCAGCGATATGCAAAATATCCTATTTGCGTTGCATATAAATGCTCTGCATTATTTTTCACTCGTCAACGTTTGAAGTCATTTGATTCGATTAGATTAATTCAAAACTTGAAAAAGATATAAATAGTTATATACAAAATTTTGAGAACAAAAAACAATATGGAAAAATATAGATAATAATTTATATTAATTATTTTATTATTCTTTTTAATATAGAGACGCTATCTCAAAATTAAATTCTATTTTAATCCTTAAAAATCACAAATGCGCATATTGACGATCTTTAAGTAGAAATTCTCGATATGATTCCAAAATTATGCATGACATCTTATTCTCTTCCTGATCCATTCTTTTTCTGCACGTTACATGAAAATTGGCCGTTGCGAAACGATCGAAAGCGACTTCGTTTTCACTGGCTCGAAAAGAGAAAACTAGTCCTCCGTCATCTCAAAAACAGACCCGTTGATCCCATTACTCGCCAATGTCGATTAAATCTATCGAGTCGGTTATATCGATCAATCAAAAATGTTATTCTTTCGTTATAGTTATTTCTACTGATATGTTTATCTTGCTAATGGCGTCAACTCACAATCAATTTCGAAAAAATAATATTATAAATATTATATTAAGTATATTAATATAAGAAGAGTAATGTTTCAAAGAAAGAACATTTCAAAATTCGATAAACCAAATTTCAAATCAATATATAATAACTTGTGATATTCTCAAATAATAATTTGAAATGATCTTCGATACAAATTTTGTATTTATACAGATACTTTACAATTTTACAATAATTGCGTAAATTATATTCTTTGTTTGTAAATCGACTTTAAATTCAAGCTGCAATTACAATTATCAATTCTGTACGTAAGAAATACGAGAGAGAATCCCGATGAAAAACGAATCACACTGAGAGAAAGGATTTTGTTAATTTTAACTGTAGCAAGCTACTAGCAGTACTTTTAACCGATGATAGATAAATATGTGACAACAAATTTTGTTGTTGTGTTTGCTGCTAGTCTGCTATACCAACCAATTATTAATAACAGAAGCAAACTATATAGAATCTAATCTATTTAGAATCTAATTCTTTTGGATAGACTAGGCTTATTTACACAGAATTCGTAGATGAACGTGAAGTCTGAAGTCGTAGGAACCAAGTACAGTCTAATATAGGGAGAATACTTGACTAGAATTGATCAATTTCTTACGATTTGATATCATCTATGATTTATATATGAGCCTCTTATTTGCTAGTGATACTATTAATTATTTGTTACATTAACGAATTAATTTGCCATCGTAACAAATCGATCATTTTTTTAACAAATATCACATTTCCCTTGATTTGTTCCTATAACAAAATCATTTCTCTCAGTGCAGATCTAATCCAGTTGGAACGATATACGCGTGCAAGGCTCACTCTGGTGTGGTCCTACGTCCCAATGTCTTACGCAATAGACTTGTCATATTTGCGTGCATGCATTGGCGTTAATTAAGCTACCACATATTACTACGTGAATGCAAAAAGAATTAAACATAGAGACGTAGCTTCTCGAAGGCCAGATTTTTATCATGGTGAATTTGTATTCCCATCGCGACGGTCGCTTGAATGTGTAATTTTAATGTATGCTTCAAGGAAGTCATACTTTATGTCACTAATGCAAAAGATGCTTTTATCATTTTTATTATGCTTATGCATAAGAAACTGCGACGAGCAGCGTGACGCCAAATTTATGGTATTCAACTTGAATCAACGAAACGTTTGAATGCTAACGAATAAGTAGATTACGCAACGAAAGTTCTTAGACAGGCACTTAGAAACGCGAGTTACGTTTAGTTACGTTTAGTTAGAACTAGTCTTCATGAAAATCATTTGTCTTTGTCTGAGAACTTGACAAGAGTTGAATTGGGCATGCGTTGACGCGACAGTGTATATTTTTCATAAAGATTAAGGTCAGTGAAGACTCTGAAAGACGACAGGCGAGGGCAGCTTGGTGTTAGAAATAGCGCGAACACGCGACTCTGAAAATTAGTTTCAAAGGTCACGGTGGCGTTTGATAAAGAGGCAGCGGAAGTTTAGGCTAATGCTTTACGGCGATAGCGAAGTAAATAAGCTCTTCCTAGTATGCAACGTGTTAATCGGCTGTAAAACGAGGAACAATCCGTGGAAGTTGTCCGACAAGGCGAATTTCTGGAGATGCTAGAAATTTCCTCCCATCAGCAACCGATTAGCACATTCAGTGAACTTGTGCGAAACAATACGGATTATCGACATCGTCGCATAACACGTCCCGTCAATGGAGGAGGTGAACGAACACCAGAAAAGGTTACTCACCTTTTTACGTGGATGTTGTTCCTCGATATAGTCGGGCACTATTCCCTCATCCAGCGTAGTCGAGCCTGGGGTGCTGCTCGACGACGAGCCGGACGTGTTGTAGGGGTAGTGTGGCTGATTGTGCGAGGGATGTGAGGTCGCCGGACATGGAGAACTTCTCGTCGGTACACCCTCCTCGCTAAGGGGTGGACTGGGAGTGCCGCTTCGCCAGGAAGCCCCGCTGCTGCTACTGCTATTTGACATACCGCCGACTCCCGGTGAGCCGGCGATCATGCCGCTGCCTCCGCCTCCACGACTCCCCCAGGAACCTGCCGCAGATCAAATTCCTTCCACATTCATTTCGGTCCGGCCAATTACCGCAGAAGCTCGGTTCGTAGTTTCGGTAATTCAATGTCTCGCGTTTACATGAGATATTATACGTATGTAATAACACAATATATGAATAAATTATTACTTATTATTTATTATCACTTATTAAATTATTATACTCATCGATATCTTATTTTCACTATTTTTCAGTATTTTTTGAGAATCGATTGCTCGCAAAATAAACGAACCGATGTATAAAGGAAATTCTTGTTATAGAAAGAAGAAAAGTACGACGATTCTGAGATTACAAATAAAGAAAAGCATTTATTCTACACCTGCTTTTAACATCTTACACCGTATTTTGTGAGAATGTCAGAAAAATGAGCACAGTACCGTAATTGTATTGGCAGTGAAGTGGCGGGGGGTTGTGAGGACTGTGAGGTGAGCACGAGAGCGACATAAGAACCAGGGCGGCAGCGCATTCGTCCATGCAATCACCGCGTTCGTTGGTGCGACAACCCTCACGTCCGCAGACCACCCTCTCGCCCCAACCGCTGTATGTCCGTTCGGAATCATTGTTCGAGCTTGGCCGTCGTTTCCTGGATCTGAAATATACATTACCACATGCTATAGGCTCGCTAGATTATATAGCGTATATCCGCATGCTGCACGTTGCTCTTTCAAATTGAAAATTTGCTATTACCCTACTTCAAACACAATTCATTTTTCGCGATGGCAAATTAAAGAATTTCCGATTTTATCTCGATTAATCGAGAGGAATATTACAGGACTCTTTCGCGAAATACGTATGTGTATTCTGGAAACAAATATTCGCCTCGATTCTCGATAATCGCTTTTTTCAGTGGAAGCAATTAATTTTCGAATTTCCGCGTTTCACGGAAAGAGAATGATGCATATATCTATAATGTCAATTCGTCGATCTTGGACCGAAGATGGCAACGCCTTTAAACGATGTAATGCAACGATAGGTCTTGCAACAGAGAATACAATATTGTGGCAAAACGGGCCCAAGTAATTTCCTTAAGAGCTCTCGTCGAATAACAGCGTAGAAGGTAATCGACGCCAGAGTTACGGGCGGTGTTTCTGGAATTACGTTTTCCTGAAACCGCATAAAATGATACGTTCTCCGTCTCTCCGTTTCACTTCGGAACGCCGAGCGAGATCGTTGTTGTCGTACGGTAATACTCGGTAGCAGAGAACCTATAAGCCGATATAGTCACTTTTCCGGGAAAGACTATAGATTTCCGCGTAAATACTGCACGTGGAGTATGTACCGTTTGTATATAGACGCTTGTACGGGTCGACGTCGTTTGAGTCGTTTCCTCTACGACTATGAATGCTTTCTCCGACCGGACGGAGTGACCAAGTGAAATGTGTGTTCAATATGAATCAAGAAGAAATACACAATGCGACACAATCTGTCTTCGGACTAGAGAAATTTACAAGAAAATTGGAAATTGGAAATTGTCTTCTCGATATTTATAACTAATGCAATATTGCACAAAAAAACTTCCGATTGAAGCGATACATTTTCTTCTCAAATTATCGGAATGTATCGAGATATAATAAATCAAGACAGAGAAATTAAAGAAAAGGTTTGTATCAATTAAATAATCATCAATTATTAATTTGCTCGATATCATGCTAAACGCAAATAAGGAATTAATGGTTAATAATACAAAATTCAAATTATATAAATGTTAAACGTAAACGTATATATTTTTAATGACTTCTTTTATCTAACTCGATATGAACCTACAATATAGAATCATCAGGGACTTTTTGTCTAATTTTTCAAGAACTTTTCAAGAGATTCGCGCATACTGAGAGAAAGGATTTTGTTAATTTAACAAGCCATTGTTTAACCAGTGATCGATAAATATATGACAACAAATTTTATTGTGATTACTGTTAGTCTGCTATACCAACCAATTATTAGTAACAGAAGCAAATTATATAGAATCTAATCTATCTTTTGGATAAACTTTAGGCTCGTTTACATAGAATTCATAGATGATCGTGGAGTCTTAAGTCATAGGAAACCGACCAAGCATAGTCTAATATAGGTAGAATACTT